TTATTGTTTGCACTGAAGCACCGCAGCAATTTCCTAATGTTGTAAACCTCAACATCTGGCAATAAACCCCATTCTGATTCTGATTCTGATTCTGATTCATTCAGGGGCCTGTCCTTCCATGATGGTTCCTCCTCTTTTTTGGGTTTCTGCTGCCTGAGGTATTAACTGATCGCACGGTCGGTTGGGGCCATCTTGCTGATGTAATCATGGATGTTTGTTGTCTCATCCTGGACTGTGTTACTGACACTTACAAGTCCCCGGCCTCCTTCCTTCCACTTAGCGTACAGCCTCAGAGTGCTGGACTTGGGGTGAAACCCCCCATGCATGGTCCGGAGCTTCATCGTCTGTATGTAAGTGGCTTCTATCTCCTCCTGTGGTCCACTTTTTATCCCAGCAGGGGGGAGGGCGTAGGTGTTGATAGCCCGGATCTTGTTGTTACCGTTCAGCTGAGTCCTCAGGAGTTGCCTGACCCTCTGCAGTTACTTGGTGGTTGCAGCTTTCCGAGCAGCATACGCCACACCCATACGCCATGGAGTTCCTGTTGACAGCTGTTAGGGTCATAGGCCTTCTTGTAACCAGTCCAGGCAGTGCACAGGTTGGTCAGCCTAGTCTTGCAGTCTCGGGCAGCTGCTCGGTCTACTAGTAGCTGGTGTTTGGCACCTCTGGTATTCTTGCCAATCCCCTTCTGTGCCCCACTCATGTATTGAGCTATATGTCTGTTCACCTTAGCCGCTATGATGCCTGACAGGATCTTCCATGTGGTACTGACAGTGTTGGGGAGTAATGGAATACATGTACCGGCGTTACGTATTTAAAACACAAAATATAAGTAACTGTATTCTGTTACAGTTACCATTTAAAAAGGTGGTGTCACGGTAGCCGCTGACCGTGCGGAGAGTGTTTGGAGGACCGAGGTGCGGACACAGACACAGGAGGCAAAACTTTTGCTAAACTCAAAGTGAGCCTTTATTAGGGGCTGATACAGAAGGCAAAATAACAAACAATAAACTACGGCAATGACAAAACTAAGAACCTAAACTGGGAGAAACGAAAGGCTATGAATGAGGACAATGAACGAAGACTAGGACTGAGGACTGAACTATAACGAAGTACTATGAACTGACTATGAACACAACATGAAAAACTATGAACAAGATCTCAGTGCTGGCACATCAAGGTGCAGGAAAACATGACTGGAGTAAGTGACTATGAGCATGTCCGATACCGAATCTTGCAGGCTAGAATCATGACGTGCAGCTAGAATAACAGGGTGGGTGAATCAGACGGCACGACGACGAACACAGGAAGACTGAGGACTTAAATACACACATGAGGTGATCAGGGGAAGTGGAGACACATGAGGCCACAGCTGACTAGAATGAAACACGATGACAACACAGGGGAGAGTAAAACTAAATGCAATGAACAAAGAACACCAGACTCTTTCAAAATAAAACAGGAAACACGGAGACATAGATAAGACACAAACTTGACAAGAGCCACACAGACATGACAGGTAGGCGCATGAACCAGTGAGACTGAGTACAGGGGGAGATGGCAAAAGAAATTTAAGAAACAAAGGACTAAACCGCAACCTGGAAATTAACTAGATGAGCCAAACTGAAACCTCTGTCCAGTGAATACAAAATGATACATTAAAAACCCACAAACTGGGTCACACAACCCAGTACCGTGACAGGTGGTATTCAGAATACAGTTACTTTGTTGAAATAGAGGAATTACACGACGGTCATTTCCTGTTTCATATGTTCGGCTATGCCCTCTGTATTTCTGGTAATTCCACGCTGGTGGAAACCCACCCCAAAAAAAAAACGCATTAAGAGGCACTAATGCCGGGGTCTCAATCCCGCGGCCCTTGTCACCTCTACTTGCAGCCCGCATAATGACGTGAAGAAATATTTTCTAAAATTATTATTCAAAAAATTATAGTGTTACAGGCATCGCCCTAAAGGGGCTATATGCTCGGAATAGTTTTCTATACAAGATCAATGCAAAAAGTGCAGCCTTACCTAATGTCCACCTGCTGTTACTCATTCATATTAAGATTCAAACATCTAGTTGGTGTTGGTGTGGAGAGTAACCTTCAGTAACAGTAATAAATCACACAGCAATAGGACATTCATGTAGTTGTAGAAAGCATGATAATATATTAAGTAATCCAAAGTATTCAGAATACTCATTGAGTAACGTAACAAAATACGTTACAAAACGCTACATTTTGGGGCATGTAATCTGTAATCTGTAGTGGAATACATTTTAAAAGTAACCTT